CCCCCCCCCCCCCCCCCCACACACACACACACACACACTTGGGCAGAGCTTCATCAAGATGAGGGGCCAAGGGTCAGATCTGCCAGTAAAAGCAAACCTGGTCATGGCAGCAGGATTTGATGAGGTTATTTCAAGAAAAGAGCTGAGGGCTACAGGTGCAGTCTCACATTGGAGCACCTCCCTGCTACAAATTTAGAACATACAGGGCATTATACTGATGAAGGGGCCACTGTCCTATCCTACAGTTTCAAAGAATTACAAGGAACCAACTCCAGTGTGTGGCTGATAAAGACTACTAAGTCATTTCTCAAGGGTGAATGCACATTTGGGTATATGGAAGGAGACAGAGGTTTTGGGTAAAAAGTAATACAGTTAAGTACAATGAAGTACTTCTTAGCCATCAACTCAACATTTATTAAGTGCTTATAAAATGCTTATACAATGCTGGGGATTAGGAGATAAATGTTAATAAGATCATTGTTTACCCTTGAAAAGTGCAAAGACCATCAGCGAAAAAATTAGGCTCTACAATGAAAAGTCAGTGCTACACAAGGAATATTCATTTCAACAAAAGCCTACTGTGTTCCAGTCAGGGGCTTCTGAGACCTTAGGAGATACCATCTCACCTCCTAAAGGCCAGTTCAGTGAGAGACATAGACAGCTGAATCATCACTACACAGTGAGACAATAACTATTAAAGGGGCAAGGACAAAAAATTGGACAATAGAGGAGGTAGAAATTTGATTAACTTAGATAAGGAGAACCTACAGTGGCTTACAAAAAAGGCTAATTTCTTTTATGATTGCTTAAATGACCGACTTCTTTTAGTCTGTACCAATATTAGTATTAACACATTTTTAATGGAATAATTGAGTCTAAAACATATGACAAATACCAATATCTAAGCAAGAAAGTCATTTGTAAAATAATTTCCTTAGTGAGGTATAACAAAACTCAATAAATAAATTCCAAAATTAGAAAGCCAAATTAGTCCTGACAGCAAAATGCTCCAAGACAAGTGTGGGCACTTGGCAGCTGGCCAACATCTGAATAGACTCGAGAGAGAATCATGCTAACAGCACAGCTTCATGCTACTGAAACAGAAGGAAGGATTTCCTTCCCTGCCTCCTGTGCCCATGTTCACATGAGGCCTGTGTTAATAAGCCCACTGATAGCAAAGAATTATGAAAGTATGGGACTGGAAAAAAATAAAGGCTCTTACAACTCAAACTAAACAATATTTACATGCCATTCTCGATTCTGGCTGTGTAGTGATTCTAATCATGCTTTGTATTTATTTTTGTAGTGTTTACAGCTGGAAAAAGGTGGTACCAGATGGCCCTGCCTTGACATAATCTGGCAATCAGCAGGACATTTGCTAGAAATCCAGAAAACTATCAGTTAGCTAACATCTGAGGTAAAGAAAGGGTATTTGGAGGCAGTGGGGACATCATGGGGAGATTTTTTTTTTAACCTGTCTTGAATTATCGAGTCATGAATATAAATGTCAGTCAAATTCAGCAGAAGCTTAACAGTGCCAATTGAGTTTGACTTATTTTAAATCTGCAAGCCTTTCAGATAGCATATAAATGACTCTAAGAAATTAATTTTTGAAAGAAACAAGCATTTCAAAACATTTGTTAGAAAGGAAAACTTAAAATTCTTCAGGTTACATGTTAAAAATGATGCTAATTCTCAAAACACATATTCTAATGTACATATATTTTATTTCAGGGAAGAGAAAAATGAGGGGACTCTTATTTCCAAAGGGTACAGGCAGTGTTAGGCTGTCCTCATCATACAGATGCAGAGGAACTCAGCTTTGCCTGTGGGGCTGCCCCACTCTTACCACACTAAGAGGTACAGGGACACCAGTGAGAGGCGACACTGAGGGACCAGAGAACCAAACTTGTCCTAGGAAGGATAAATGATTATCACATCCTCCATTTGTTTCACAGTTATAAATAATTGAGTAAAGTAAATAAATATAATGAAAGATTATAAATGTAATCAGGCATTTTTTTGTTTTTTAAAATAAGGGGTTTACTCTAATGCACACCCTGGGATGTAGTGGTATGATCATAGCTCGCTGCATCCTCAAATTCCTGGCCTCAAGCAATTCTCCCACCTCCGCCTCCTAAGTAGCTAGGTCTACAGGAGTGAGCCACACAATCAGGTGTTTATAAACACCTCTATATTATAAAAGACTAAAACTAGACCTATGGAATTCACAACAAATAATTAATGTTTTCACCATGGAAAGAAGTCATATAACTTAAGAAAAAAAGATTAACACTGTAAACAGAAAATGAACAACTAACAAAGGATGTGAGCTTAGTGATTTCTGCCCCCTGAAAAATGAAAATGACAAATGGACAAGGGGACTTGGAGGAGGGAGGGGGCAGATGACAATAACCTAAGCAAGAACTGAAGAAACTAAAATCAAAACATTGTAACACTTTTACTTATATGTTTTACAAACATTAAAAAGGGAGACTAGTATCTCTGATGGTGAGAATATGAAGAAATTTGTACAAAATACTTGAAGGACAACTTAATAATAAAAAAATTTTTTAAACGGCTTTTTAAAAATGCACATATTGTAGCAATTCCACTTACAGGAAGTTATCCCAAAGAAAAAAGTAAAGCCGGGCTCAGTGGCTCAGCCTGTAATCCCATGCCTTTGGGAGGCTGAGGTGAGTGGATTGCCTGAGCCCGCAGGTTCGAGACCTGCTTGGGCAACTGGGCAAGACCTCATCTCTACTATAAATCAAAAAATTAGCCAGGCGTGGTAGAGAGCGCCTGTAGTTCCAGCTACTTGGAAGGCTGAGGTGGAAGGATCTCTGGAGCCGAGCAGGTCGAGGCTGCGGTGGCCAGGAGCGGCCGCTGCACTCCAGCCTGGGCGACGGAGTGAGACTCCAACTCAAAAAAAAAAAAAAAAAAAGTAAGGAAATAACTAGTAATGTGTAACCAAATATATGTTGCTTGCATTACTGAAGAATTAAAAACTAAATTTACAACAGAGCCAGGCTCGGTGGCTCAGCCTGTAATCCCGCACCTTGGGAGGCTGAGGAGAGTGGATTGCCTGAGCCTGTGGGTTCGAGACCCGCCTGGGCTACTTGGCGAGACCTCATCTCTACAATAAATCAAAAAACTAGCTGGGCATCGTAGCACGTGCCTGTAGTTCCGGCTAGTTGGAAGGCTGAGGCAGAAGGATCGCTGGAGCCTAGCCGGTCGAGGCTGCAGTGGCCGGGAGCGGCCACTGCACTCCAGTCTGGGTGACAGAGTGAGACTCCAACTCAAAAAAAAAAAAAAAAAAAAAAACCACATAGCACAAGATAATAATAATGATGATGATGGTGATGGTGACTGATGGTGATGATGGTGGTGGTGGTAGAGTGGCTACCAGCATTTATTAAGCCCTTTATGCCTGAAACTGTACTGTACATACATTAAGTCACTTAACCCTAACTACCTATGATGAAGTAGATATTCTTATTTTTATAATACAGATGAGACACCTGGGGAGCAAAGGAATTACAAAAGCATGATTGCATTAAGTGGAAAAATCAGGATTTGGACATAGGTAATCTGACTAGAAAACTGACACTTTTAACCACTCCACACACACACTGCTTCCAAAACACAGTGATCTTTTTAAGAAATGGCAAGTTCTTTAGTTCAAGAAACTTTCATTGAACAGTGGTTCAGACACTATGCCAAGTGCTACAGATACAGAGATAAGAGCAGCACAGGCCAAAAGAAAAGCCTCAGTGTAGAGGGAAAGACAAAATATTTATACAGTAATGTCATATACATGACCTTGAAGTAACAGAAAGGAAAGTATAATTGATTCTGCTGTGGCATCAGAAATAGGGAACACATCTAGCAGAGGTGATCACAGACAAAAGTTTTATAAAATAAAGTGAAGCTCTCCAAGAATATTTGGAGATTAAAAAAAAAACTTTTCAAGCATTCAGGACAGAATGTAACAGTATATAAAGGCAAAATGAATGCAGAGTAATTTCGAATATTACTACAGAAGGTGCTAGTATGGCAAATAATAACAGGATTGGCAGGATTTGATGAATGACTGGGTAAATAAGGGGAGTGAGTGAAATTAGAAATGGACCTGAGAAAAGATAAGGCAATCTCTAGAGACAGAAATAGAAAGGGTAGAGCTAAAATAATGACCCAGTAATCGGGCCCAAATATTTTCTACAAAGCAGATAGTCCAACTTACAGTTTGGAAGGGCTAACTTGTTGAACCAAGAGAAACATAATCAGGTGAAAGTGAGGTAAGCAGCCAGATGCAGCTAGGTGAGTGTTTCCCAACTCAAAAAGTCTAGACAAGTCTGAAGACTGCATGAGTATTTCAAAATTATTCCCTACTCTGAAAGCACTTAACTTTAGAGTATCATAATTTGAATTATAATGTCTTCACCTTCAAACTGCCAGAGTAGTGTAATGAAGATATTTGTAGATGTTGGTACATAACTAAATAATAATTCTAACTAAGGTTGTAGGTGCAGCAAAAACAATTCAGTCACATTGTTAAGTAAGAAATACTGTACCTTTAGGTGATAATGAGGTTTTAGATAAATTTAAATGCTTTAATCCCTTTGGGAGTTTGGCAAATTGAATACTTAAAGAGGATACACCTGAGAAAGGAAAAAAAGAGATTATTAGAATTTTCGAGTTCTCAGAATTGAATTTTTTAAATGCATAAAAATAAATTTGATTCCAACTGAATTGATCATATGTTTCTAATGTCAAGACATTGTTTCCTAATCATTTACCATAAAGTCTCCTTTCTATCCTACCTATAGGAGAAGATTGTTTTTAATTAAGTATAACAATATCTGAAACCTTTCCTTTGGAAATATTTCAAGGCCAAGTGGTAGCTTCTTCTCATAGTACTATTTAAAATGCAAATCCTCTTGAGAAGGATAATTGTTCCTCCCTTTTCTTTTTAACCTCTGTCTTAATGAGTTGATCTCTCTTCCAGATGTGCAGATGTAAGCTATTTAATTATTGTCAAGAAGAATGGAGTAATATCAACTATTCTGATAACAGCAGATGGATTCCAACTGGCTTATGGCTAACAACTTCATAGAGAGCATCAGAACATGTTTTAACTTCTTGAAGGCAGGTTTTGTAACTTTGAATAACTTACCAAGAATTTCCAGTACTTAAAATCAGATATCCTGTAAGTTCAGTGGCCTGAGTGAAAGACTGGGAACACTAGCTCACTCATGTAAAAACTGCAATGAGCTAGGCTATTTCCTGGGATGAAATAAGTAACACACAAGTGTATGACCTTCCTAGGGGTTCTTCTACTGATCTCCTGCTGCAGGGACATGTTCTTCAGAAGGTTCCTTAAACAATATTAATTCTTGTTCTCTTCAACCAATTATCAACTCTAGACAATAATAAGAAACTACTGTGAGCTGGGCTCGGTGGCTCAACCTGTAATCCCGCGCCTTTGGGAGGCTGAGGTGAGTGGATTGCCTGAGCCCACAGGTTCGAGACCAGCCTGGGCAGCGAGACTTCATCTCTACAATAAATCAAAAAATCAGCTGGGCGTGGTAGCGCATGCCTGTAATTCCAGCTATTTGGAAGGCTGAGGTGGAAGAATCACCAGAGCCCAGCAGGTCGAGGCTGCAGTGACCAGAAGCGGCCCGGGCACTCCAGTCTGGGCGACAGAGTGAGACTCCAACTCAAAAAAACAAACAAACAAAAAAAGAAACTACTGTGCTTGTTGCTGTCCTCTGTATAACCCCAAATTCTCTACAAATCTTATCAAAATTTATAAGAACTACTGTAGAAACAATATAAAGATCATGCAGCTGACTAAACCTCCAGATGGGTGCTTCCCCAAGGATAGTTATGTGTTCTAGGGGCCTCTACCTATTTCCCCAAAATGTTTCCATTGTCAAAGAAGTTTAAAAATCACTTAATTAAATAATGCTAGACAGGTTTTTTTTAATCTGAATATGTCTAGAGGCCTGAATATGCTCATCCATTTTTTAAATTACCAAAAAGAAGAAGGCCTGATATTTAACTGATACACTCTTATAAAAGAATGACTAACAGGTTTATAAGAAGGAGGGAGGGAGAATAATTTTTAAAACCTGACTAACCCAAAAAGTAAAAAAGGAGAAGGTAAAAAAAAAGAAAAAACAGAAAACAAATAGGAAGATTTCCACCCAAATATATAATTACATTAAGTATAAATGTACCAAATATTCAAGTTAAAAGTCAAAGATAGCTTATCTGAATAAAAATATCAGAGGATTTCAAGAGACACACCTAGAAATATACATACTCAAAAGAAGGAAACATGAAAGCATGAAAAAAAGATATATGCTACAAACACTGATGTAGCTTAATAGGACCAGAAATCTGATGTAGCTTAATAAGACCAGTTAGATTTTAATACATTTGCAACTGGCAAATGCTTCACTGTCCTAATACTGACAGCAGGTGAAAATTTTAAAAATCTGAAGTTGGTTGCCACAAACTGATGTCATTAAACTGATGACAAGTGAAATGGTCTATTCAAAATTGTCACATTTTCACAACATAGATGAAAATTGAAGACATATCCAGTATTTGCCTCAGGTACCACTCTGACTAGCATTCTTTACTTTGTATTTTCATTTGGATTTAAGCCCGAAAAGATGGCCTTCCACGATGAGGTATCATGGATTCATCTAAGGAAAGTTCCTGTTCAGATTTGTACAGTGTTGAACTTATTTAAAACATAATTTTTTTTTTTTTTAAGTCAGAGTCTGTCACCCTGTCTGGAGTGCAGTGGCATTCTCCTGGCCCCCTCAGCCTCAACCTGCTGGGTCCGGCGATCCTTTCACCTCAGCCTTCCAAGTAACTGGAACTACAGGCACGCGCTACCAAACCCAGATAATTTTTTGATTTATTGTAGAGATAAGGTCTCCTCAAGTTGCCCAGGCAGGTCTCGAACCCGCGGGCTCAGACAATCCACTTACCTCAGCCTCCCAAAGCACAGGATTAAAGGCTGAGCCACCGGCTAAAATGTAAGTTATCACAGGTTCAATTTTGCATAATCTTCTTGGATTTGACTGCATTTCTGCATTTTAGAAAAATGCAAAAACCACAGAATGTGTGGGAGTCTATTGCATGTTATTAGTTTTGGAAAGAGAGGTGTCACAACTGACAAACTTGTTGACCAATAATCATGTATTGTGGTTTTCTTTACTTGTCCCATCAAAATATTTAATGCTAGAAATTTTTCCATCTCGGACACTGTAGTATTGCTCTGATTTTTTTATTTCTTTGGACATTTATATCTGTGGCGCATCTAAATATAATACCGGTTAGTTTCAGTTGCAATAATTTCTATAAAATCATCTCCAATAAGTAGTCTGACAACTTCACTTATACTTTTAGGATCATTTGGAAATACCTTGATACCTGGATTACCAATAAACACTTCTAAGTTTCTTTTTGGATTATATATTGTCCACTCAATATCTGATTCGTTCTCATCAGGACGAAATTCACTGTCATAGATTATCTGCATTATATTTCTTCATTTACATTGCATCCTTACATCTTTATCTGTCTCACTATCACTAATAAGTTCACTGGATTCACATTCAAGCTAGGAAATCTCATCAGCACATACTTCATTTTCCATAATTATGGTAAATTATTTTTAACACTGAAGTATGAAAGCCCTGAAATATCAAAATACAAGTATACAACACTAATTGCAAGAAAATAATGATCAACGCGCAATCTTTACCAACTACGTAAATCAATAATAACATTACACAGTTGATATCAGGTAATCATCTCAATTAGCTTTCTCTCTCCTTGCCTGACTATTCATTTTCAAGCAAAATACAATAATATCTACATATTACAACATTGCAGCATTCAGAAACAGAATTTGGAATGACATAAAGTCATGTCAGTGGTCGCAAAAGAGTTAAGAAGCATCACTCGAAATAAATGGGACATTTCATTAATTAAGAAGATACAGTTATTCTAAATCCATGTGCTCCAATTAATAGTCAGAAAATATATAAAGTAAATCTGACAGCAACAAAAGGCATATATATAATTACACATACATATATAATAAAAGAATTTTTAAATACATCTCTGTGAGTTGCTGATAAAACAAATTTATAGAAAAAGTCAGTAATGAAATTAAGAATAACATGAATGAAAAAAGAGGCCAGGCTCGGTGGCTCAGACTGTAATCCCGTTCTTTGGGAGGCCGAGGTGAGTGAATTGCCTGAGTTCACGGGTTTGAGACCCGCCTGGGCAACTTGGCGAGACCTCATCTCTACAATAATAATAATAAAAAAAAATCATCCGGCCATGGTAGGACATGCCTGTAGTTCCAGCTACTTAAAAGGTTGAGGTGGAAGGATCACCGGAGTCCAGCAGGTTGAGGGTGTGGTGGCCAGGAGTGTGCCACTGCACTCCAGTCTGTGCGACACAGTGAGACTCCGACTCAAAAAAAAAGATATAATCGATACATTTAAAACATTGTACCCCATAACTACAGAATACATTTCTTCAAAGTGCACACTGAATATTTTCCAAAAGTGACAATATACTGAACCATAAAGCAAGTCTCAAAAAATAACAGAATATTCCTTAAGTGCTCTGAAATCATATTCTGTATATAATTTCATATTCTGAAATCATACAGATATGATTTCAGAGCTATTAGTATGCTCTGTAACTGCTACTGAAATTAAGGTAGGAATTATAACAAAAAGATAATTAGAAAATACCCAAACCACTATAACTTAAGCAATGTATTTCTTTTTTTTTTTGAGTTGGAGTCTCACTCTGTCGCCCAGACTGGAGTGCAGTGGCCGCTTCCAGCCACCGCAGCCTCGACCTGCTGGGCTCCGGTGATCCTTCCACCTCAGCCTTCCAAGTAGCTGGAACTACAGGCATGCGCTACCACGCCCGGCTAATTTTTGATTTATTTTAGAGATGAGGTCTCGCCAAGTTGCCCAGGCGGGTCTTGAACCCGCAGGCTCAGGCAATTCACTCACCTCGGCCTCCCAAAGCACAGGATTACAGGTTGAGCCACCAAGCCTGGCTAAGCAATGTATTTCTAAATAACAGACAAATATAAGGAAAAAAAGTCAAAGTGAAAAAAAAATATTTTTTTTGAGTTGGTGCCTCTCTCTGTCGCCAAGGTTGGAGTGCAGTAGCACACTTATGGCCATCCCAGCATTGACCCATTGGGCTCAGGCAATTCTTCCACCTCAGCCTTCCCATTAGCTGGAACTACAGGCGCGCACTACCATGTCCCACTAACTTTTTGATTTATTGTAGAGATGAGGTCTCACCCAGTTGCCCAGGCTGTTCTCAAACCTGTGGGCTCAAGCAATCCCCTTACCTCAGCCTCCCAATGTGCTGAGATTATAGGCTTGAGCCACCACGCTTGGCCTACAATAAAAATTGTTTTAATATTTTTAGTTAAAGAAAAAAACTACAAAATTAACATTATAGGGATACAACTAGACTCATGCTTAAAGGGAAATGAACAGTCCTAAATTCATAATGTTAATAAAGAAGAAAAACTGAAAAATAATTATCTATCTTAAGATGTTTAAAAAAGAACAGCAAATTAATTCTAACCCCACCT